TCTGGATGAAATCAGTTGGTGCCCCAAAACAATGTCCTTGAGATTGCAAATGTCCTTGGTTGCCCACAGGAAATAGAGAACAGTCACCTCTAAACTGAAAGCTGTGCCTTACCACTACCACCGGCAAGTTTCGAAAGGCAGAGTTTTGAATGCAAATGATGAATGACCATGGCAATGCTAGCAATGAAAGCAAACACAAGGTTTTCAGTGCCGAACCTAATACATCTTTACAACCGGTTTTCACCTAGCAACTGTCATCATCCTCCAGCAACCACTTGCACTCATAAACCAGTCAGGTCATTCATATTTTTTCCATAGCAAGCGGTGGCTGTCAGGGGGTCGCCAATGGGTCCCTTGGCCCATGTGACTGAAGCCTTGGTAACTTCTTTCTTTTATAAAGTGAACAAGATAATGTTCCCTTTACGAAAGATGACGCCCAGTAGAGTTAACAAGGCTGATAAAGTAGCTTCTTCAGGGCAAGCCTGCGTTGTGCTCCTCAGATTCTCAGATCTGCCTCTTACTTGTCACGTGCAGTTTGAAAATACCAAGATGGTGACAGCAAAATCACTCAGCTCAACAGGGCTTCACTGAACCATGGTCGATGGCCCAGTGTCCGTGTCCAGCTTTTACATACAGTCTATAGTAAAGGCTCTAGATGAGAGATGTCATTTTATAAAGGCTATATAAACCATTTTCAATTTTGTTTTTACTGTTTTTAATATTTTCACTTAAAGATTAGAAGCAGAGTTTTCCCAACATTAACGTCCAAACTGAAAAACATACAGTAATGAAAAAATAGAAACTAAAAAATACAGTTTAGCCTGTCACCAACACTGCACCTTCATTTTATAATATTAAAAAAAAACAAAAAAAAAAAAATCCCACACATACTAAAACACAAAGACACTACTTTGAGCCGTTTCAAGACAGCTAAGATCTATATTTTCAGCCGATCAGCGTTTAAAATCATAAAATAAGACCTGAAAGTCTCACCCAGATTTCCAAAATAAAAAAAAACCCACCATCAGTACGAGACATGCAAGGAAACCTCACAGTGAAACAGATTGCTGATTCTCCCCAGAGGGCCATGAAAGAACAGCACAAAATTGGCAAATTCGGTCCAGAGAAAAGAAAACTACTGCACCTGCCAGAGTTTTCACTTAAAGACAAAAAAAAAACCAAGTGTGCCTGAAGTAATCTCCAGAGTAGGAACAAAAAAAAAATGCTGTCACATCACCTCAGCCTGGTTACTTTGACGCCAAAACAGTTACTTTGTAGGAAAGCAGGAAATGCATGGAAACAAGCAAATATAAGGACACCTAAGCACCACATCCACATGACTGTAAAACCCTCGTTTCAGAATAATTAGCATCAATGCGATGCTACAATAACCTTCACTCTTTAAAATGCTATTCATGAGATTATTGGCCCAGACTGGAGGAACCTGTTCTATTTCACAAAAGCACTGCAGAGTTGTTCAAATTGATGTTGAAGTTCTTCCCCATCGAATCTCAGTCTGCTTTCTTTCTAATGGCCAGCTAGTCGCTTCTTTATACACTTTATATCACTCAATTTATGACCTCCATAAACACTTTGCTGATGTGTTTATGGTCTCAGCTGCTACTTTCAAGTCTTTCTGAAACAACATGATGTTCAGTTAAATGACAGGTGCAGTTAAAAAGTCAAAAGGATCATAAAGCAAGGTGTGCATTATGGTGGGCCTACCTTGTGAGTAGCAAGTGGCTACCGTATGAGCATGACAAGAAGAAGGGAAAACTGGCAAGAATATGACAGCCAAAAGAAACTTGATAAACTGCACCATAAAGCTATAATTTATGTTTATTAATTCATTATTTCCAGCGATCTTCTTTAACACTTGGCTTCAATAACCTTCATGACCCAGTAAAATTTTAAAAAAAAAAAAAACTTGATAGGAGGGGGGTTTAATGGGTCAAAGTGGGCCAAGCTGGGCTGAACTGATACCAGCTAGTTCAGCTCTGCCAGGTCAATGCCAGTAGGACGGTGCCTTTTCCCATGACCCTTTAATGACCTCCAGTAATTTTCCAGATTCATTCAGCATGACGTGAGGCAGAGATGTTTTGCATTTGTGCAGAGCAGGGATAGTGGATGTATTGGACAAAGGATGCTGGAGACGGAGCTGTCCAGCAGAAAGAAAGAGGAAGCCCTCAGAGGAGGTTCGTGGATGTTGTGAAGGAGGACATATAGAGGTTTGATGTGACAGAGGAGGATGTGTTCGTAATAAAAAGCCCAGAACAAGCAAGCTGGAAAGTTCAAAAGGACACGGCTTTTTCTCCGGCCCACAACAGTATTTGTCCAGAAATTGCAAACACAGACACACAAAGTCTCACATACACAGTGGTTAAAACAAAAGATGTTCATTCCCTCAACAGCCTGTACCTACCAAACAGCTTTCTTTTCCTTCATTGCTCCTTTGAAACCATCAATTACACCCACATTGCTAGGTTTGGAACAATTACATCCAAGCAAGTGTATACAGACACAAGACTTCACAGTCCTCTCTTTGGTAAGCAAAACAGCATCCACAGACACACTTTCCCAGAGGTCTCCACTTTCCTGTAACTGACAAACAGCTGAGGTTTACAGCATCCACAAAATCTTTATTAAAATCCTCCGTCTCAATAGTAAGCTGGCCCTTTTGGCCCTTTTGGACCATCACAGTTATAAAGACCTGCTATGCAGCTGCTGCAGTAAAAATTACAATGTTTTTTGTTTGGGGAGGTTTTTTTAACCAAAAACTTGTATTACTGGGGAGTTTATGGAATATGTGATGTAAATTAAAGTTAAAATTTTTGCTCATATCCATTTCCGTCTCAAACTTTGATCACCAAGTGAGAATTGTAACCAATTTTTTTGGAGCTGTGTTTTGTTAAATAGCTTCACCAGTTTCACTTTTCCAAATTCTTACCGTGGTGAGGCAGTGTCCTGCAATTTCAAGAAGTTGATAATAACAGCAATTTGATATTTATTCAGTGAGTGGATAGATCTCCGGCTCTGTTTCTTCAGTTCTTTTGTTTAAAATATTCAGCTCATTCACACAACTGTCCTGTGCACATCTGAGTACATCACTGGTCTGAAAATGTGCACCATCTCCAGAAGTTATCCCAGCAACCCTTACCTTCTTCTCTCTGATAAGCAGGCTTCCCCTCCACATTTCTTTGGAGTCAATACAGCTATCCAAGTCAGCCAGCTTGACCAAAGCGGCGCTGATGGAGGACGCCATTTTCTGCCATCTGAATGAAGAAAACAAGAATCGCTTGATGAGCCCGAGTAACTTTTATTCTCTGTTAGACAGCGATATGCAAGCCCATGTGTCAGGTTTTCTTATTGCCTACAACAGTTCTGCAAATGTTAATCGTACATTCACGTTATACCAATAAGCCTGTCACATTTAAGATGTCTAGTTCTTATCAGGTAGGTGGTGTTTTGATGCCTTATGTTGGGGGGTGAAAAAGGTCATTCTGGCATCTCCTGAGATTATCTGTCTTCATTTGCCAAAATTAATTTGTTGTTTTTATCGTTAAGAGTGCTTCTGCAGAAATGTTCATCCATGTGTATCCATCCATTACTTCAAGTCAGCACCTTCTCTTATTTATCCATCTAACTCCCCCTAGTGGTGAGCTAGGAGGATTTCACTAATAATGGGTTCGTGTACATTCCCAGTCATCCAAGTCATGGTTGTCTTAAGAGCTTAAAAATGAAGGAAAAAATGGACTTCTTTAAGTCACTGGAAACCCTCTCGTGCATACTCATCGACTCCCATCAACCACTGAAACACAAACTTGGGTTGAACAGGACCCTACGCCACACCCTACCAACGATCCCTCTAAGGCACAGATGGAAAGAGAAGGAAGACACACGTAAATAAAGCTCTTAAAACATGTGGTTGTCCCAACTGGGCCTTCATCAAATTACCAAAGATACACAGGAAAGAAGATCAGACATCAACTAGGGAGAAAGGCGATGACTGATGGAACAACATTGTCATCCCTTATGTACCAAGTTTATTAGAGGAAACAGGAGAATGTTCTCCAACCGCAGCATCTCAGTGCACTTCAGTCCCAGCCACACTCAGACAAAACCTGGTTCATCCCAAGGAAAAAACTCAAACACTGAGTGTCTGAGTGCACGCTGTGCTGTGCAGTGAGGAGCACTCAGACCTCTACATTAGAAAACCAAAACAGCCACTCCGCAAACACATGGCACAACACAGGAGAGTCACCTCGACGGTACATCTGCAGCTAAAAGATCAATGTCACTCTTTGGATGATGCCAATGTTCACATACTGGATCGGGAAGACCAACGGTTTGGGAGGAGTGAAAGAGGCCATCAGCTGTCTGCCACCTACAATCCACTCACACCTCACTTTAGGTGACCTCAACAAGTCACATGATAAGATGGGCCATGTACTCACACTGATTTCACCTTTAACCCCAAGTAATGATAATGACCTACACCTTTTTTCACACCTTGGCTCGTGGAATGACACACATAATCAACAGTGGGCCCAACGACCTCCTCCTAAGGGGAAAGCCCATACTAGGGATTAAGGCTACGTCCACACTAATGTGTTTTTGTTTGAAAACGCATCGTTTTCTCTCCGTTTTGGCCTCCTGTCCACACTGAGACGGCGTTTTCCCCAAAAGAAAACGCAGCGTTTGGAAAACGCTCTCAAAAACGAATACATTTGAAGATGGTGCTTTCGCGTCGCAGTGTGGACAGCGAAAACGGAGACTTTCGAGAACAATGACGCATTTTAGTCATGTGATGCAGTCATGTGACCAATTAAACAATGATAGCGGAGGGCATTATACAGCAGTTGTTTTGTTTGCTCTCAATTTTGACAGCCCTATTAAAGATTAATATCAGTTTGCACATGCTCCAGAGAGCTTTTCTTCAAATTCTTTAATTCTCACTCGCTTTTGCAAGTTTGTACTTTTGTGTTAATCGCAACAACAACTCCATCTCATTGTTAGTCCATTCGACATTTTGCCGACACGTTTTAACGAGCCGGAAAGTAAATAAACGCCAGACAGAAATGAGGCAGGCCGAATCTTCTTGCGTTTCACGCATGCGCAGTACTGGAACGTAAGCGTTTTCGGCCGTTTTCATGTGGAAAATGACTTGTGTGGACACGGAGCGTTTTCAGACGAAAACGCCGTTTTCAAATCTATCCGGGATAGTGTGGCTGTAGCCTAAATCCCTGGGACTCTCCACCTTTTGTTTTTAGAACTGAAGAAGCCTCTTGGATGAGAGGTGAAACTTTTCTTTTTTTCAAGCTCTTAAGTTCACAAATAGCACTATTTGAAAAGTTTCCTACAGTAAAAACAAGGCTCCTTTCAAAGTTACAAAATAAAATCTAAGAATCAAAGGACTTTACAAAAAAGCCCCTTTTTCATAGGTTGTATTGCTGTTAAAGAGTTTAAGTGAAGGCCTATTTGGCATTCTTCAGTAAGAGGGAATAGAGTGTAGGGCTGGGTATCGTCACTGATTTCTAGAATCGATTCGATTCTGATTCACAAGGTCCCGAAAGGATTCGATCCACGATTCGATTCAATTCAATTCGATTTGTATCTGGGAAATTTTGCCTCAGACAGTCAGAAATATTCTAATTAAGATCAGTACATTTACATATTTTTGTATCTATAAAAAGGAAGCTGACACACGCAAGACTTTATCAAAGGTGTGAGCGTCACAGCAGATGCATTTGTGTCAAAGTAGCTGAAGATAAAACACAGAAAAACATGAAGGTGATTTTTCCTGGCCTGGGATTTTATAAAAATATTCTGCAGTACATCAAAAACGAAAGAAAACCATTAATCAACATATGAACATTGCCTCTGAAGTTACAGCGGTTTGATTAGAGACACAGCTAAGTGTTTTGCATTTTGCATAATTTTAAAAAGTTTAAATTTGTTCAGAAGCCCATTGAACAGCAGAAATTAGGTTTTCTTTTCAGAAGTATGTAAAAGAAAAAAAAAACAGCAACAGCGCTGTAAACAACGGTAGACTTGTGCGTAACAAGCAAGCGAATTATGTAGAAAACAGATTTTTAGACGGGAAACTGTTCTTGAAGTACAGAGAGAACGAGAGAGAGAGAGAGAGAGAGCTGTTCACGACATGTGATTTTATTGTGTTGGAAGCAAAACAGCAAAAGTAAGAGGGAACCCACGACGATGTTTATGTGAAGCGCAGTTTGGATCTTCTTTTACTGCTGGTTCGGTCAATATTGTTTGGAGAGATAAAACTAACAGCTTTAGAATCAGCACAAAAACGGCGTAAACACAAAGCGCGGACCCCCGAAACATCAGAATCAGCGAGCTGTCGGCTTTCAGCCCCGACCGTGTTTGTGTCGTCAGGTGAGAAAGACGACATCTTACTGATTCTGATCCGTCGGCGGGTCCGCGCTTTGTGTTTACATTTATGTGCAGAATCCGTGTTCCTGCTCTCATTCACTGTTTTAGCTGTTTGGTGGTTGTTGAAATTTTGTGAGGTTTCACCGGCATTTCGGGCAAAATAAATTTATATTAAAAAATCGATTCAGGATTTTAATGAATCGATATCACATTATCCAAGCTAGAATCGATTTTAATCGATAAATCGATTATCAAAGCCCACCCCTAATAGAGTGTAATGCATGGGTACTTTTCATCTTCTCACCCAGGTGTGTGCTGTGTGATGACACTGATCTTTGCAGCATGCCAGGAGGACATGTGTTTGACGGCTCCCAGCAGAGGCAGGAGGTCTTTAACAGGAGGGGACTGCTCAGCAGAGCCCAGCACCAGAACATCCAGCAAGGCTTTACCTGATTGAAAAACATAGGAAACAAAAGGACACCGTGTTTCCTTCTTTTATTTATTTATTTTTTCTTTTTACACATCCATCTCTTGGTAGGACGTATCAAGGCAAGTCATGAGCTTTTAAAAAGTAGGCAGAATCGCTTGTTATCAAAACCAAATTTCAAGAATTGTAGTGACTCTGGCTCCTCAGGGTAACTAAAGTTAGAGGGTAACTGTTTCTGAACACCTGTGGACACTATGTGCCAAAAAACCTTCTCTTAAAAAAAACAAACTAAAAAGAAAACACTTAACGAGGGAGATTTGCAAAGACGTCAGAGCATTGGTGAACACAGATTTATGCAGTACAGCAGGCAAACTTTTCCACAAGGTTGCAGCAGGCGGATTTTCAGAATCTAACTGCTTAAAATTCGACAGCACTCTTTTAAGAAGAAGTTTTAATTCCTTGATTTGGCTAAGACATAATCGCCCCATGAGAAATTATTTTGTGCAGCAAACTTCTTGTTCTTTTTTCCCACGAGTAAAACAAGCCAATCATCGTTCTTCTTCTTAATGCAGAATGGAAGAAACTGAAGTGGCGAACTGCGCCCTAAAGGCGAAAGATATATAAGTATAGAAAGTAACCAATGTAAACTGGATAACAGTACCTGGAGGTGGAAGCTTGTCTGACAGCACATGCAGTCCCTCTGCAGCCTCCTCCATCAGCCTGTTAAAAGTTGAGAACAGATGAGCTGACATGTCACTGTCACGCAGATTCTTGAATGGACAGATGGAGCAAATCCTTGTTACGGACAATAACTGCAGACATTATCATTATTATCATCTCACTCTGTCAGTGTCAGCTCATCAGCCTTTTGGTCCGGTGCCTCCTGGTTCTTCAGAGAACCCAAACAAGCTTCCAAAGAAGTGGGTTTCTCCTCCTCACCATCACATCTGTGAAGGCTCAACTCTTCCCATTTAGAGGTGCAAAACTGCCAAACAAGAGACAATTACTAAACTAAATACAGAATTCTTTATTCACAACTTAACAGTTTGAAAGGTAAGATTCTGCATTGTTTCCTTGTCAAATGTGTGTCAATGTGGTTAAGTATGAAGCATGAAGTGCTTCTGCAGTTTTAATAAAGGCATTCTGTACCAATTCCTAACTTGCCAAGATGAATAAAACTGTTGTAAAGCTGATATTGTATTTAATAAGTAAGAAGTAAGGAAGGAAATGGCACAATAGCTACGTTGGTGCAGACTTTGACAACTTGTGACAATGTGACAAAAGCATCACACATAAAAAAAGCTGTATATACAGGCACCATATCTATGCTCTTGAATCTTCCAAGTGTCTCACCTGTGCGGCTCCGTGACAAGCCTGAACAGCAAAGTACCACCTCCGAGCTGACGGGCTGCCACTGAGAGAACAAGCTGGGAAAACATGCAGTGAGAAAGATGTAAGGAAGGGAAATAACTTGTTTTTGCCACAGGATTTCTGCCAGGCTGAGGTCTGAACTTTGATTGAACCACTGCAACATCTTGATTCTTTTCTTTTTCAGCCATTCTGAGGAAGCAGATTTGATGCTGTGCCTGGGATCATTGTCCTGTTGCATTAGCCAATTTGAGCCAAACTTCAGCTGTCAGATAGATGGATTCACATTTGACTCTAGAATACTTTGCTAT